GGGGGGGGCGGGGTTGTTCCCGCTTCTCTGTCCGCACCCGCAGAGCCCACACGCCATCGTCCTGGTGATTCTCTTCGCCTTGTTTATGCTGCTGATCATTTACAATTCCAACAGCCGCAACGAAGCCCTCCGTTACTCCGCTTTGCAGGCCAAGACCCCGCTGCCCTCCAGCCTCAAGAAGTGGGGGGTGAAAGGCGAATACCTGCCTGTTCCCGGAGGGAAGGTAAGAGGGAGGGATGTTGGGGTGGGTGGGGGTCTCTCCTCTTGGGGCTGGGGGTTGTTGCCCGCCTTCCCCATCGTGGGCAAGGGGCCATCTCGGGCTGATTGGCTTGAAGGCACGTCCCAGGTTCTAGCAAAGACAGAGGGATTTTTCTGTGCAAAGTGTGTCAAGATGCAAACGCGATGAATTTGTCCAGGTTCTGGGTTTCCACAGGGAAGGATGGTGGTTTTTGTATTACGGGGTAGTTTTCCGAAAGGGGCTTCCAACATCTGGATTTTGAAGGGATCAAAGGGCCAAATCCTCCTCCTTCTCTTTCTCCTTCTCTTCTCCTTCTCCTCGTTTCCCTCCATCTCCTCCTCCACTTTCTTCTCATTTCCCTCCATCTTCTCTTCTCCTCCTCCTCTTCCTCCCTTAACTCCTCCTCCTTCTCCCTTTTCATTCCTCTTTCTCTATCTTCTCCTTCTCACTCTCCTCCTTTTCTCTTCCTCCCTTTCTACCATTCCTCTTTCTTCTCCTTCTCCTTTTCTCTTCTTCTTTCTATCCTCCCACCATTCCTCTTCCCCCTTCCGTCTTCTTTCTTCCTTACCTCCCTTTTCTCTTTCCCCAATTCTTCCTCCCACTCCTTCTTCCTCTCCACCTCCTTCTGCATTTTCCTTTTCCTCTTCCTCTTCTACTCCTCCTCCTTCTCCCTCCCCCTCTTCTTCAACTCCTCCTTCCCCCTGTTCATCTTCGTCCTCTTCTCCTTCTCCTCCTCCTTTCCCCACTCTCTCGTCTCTTTCTCCCTACTTCTCCCTGATCGTCTGAAGCCAAACCACCTTCTCCCAGTCGCTCCAACCGAGTTGCTTTTCTATCCCAGCCCTTGGGTCAGCATTGCAAGGAGTGTGCCCTCATCACCAGTTCCAGTCACCTCCTGGGCAGCAAACTGGGCAAAACCATCGACCAGTCGGAATGCACCATCCGCATGAATGACGCGCCCACCACGGGCTTCTCGGAGGATGTGGGGAACAAGACCACTTTCCGCGTCGTGGCTCACTCCAGCGCCTTCCGGGTCCTGAAGAGGCCGCAGGAATTCATCAGCAAGACCCCTGAGAACATCTTGATTTTCTGGGGGCCCCCACTCAAGATGCAGAAGAGCATCATCAAACTCATCGAACGAGTCAGCCTCAGTTTTCCCAACATGACGGCCTTCGCAGTTTCTCCCAAGCGCATGCAACAGTTTGACGAATTGTTCCGGAAAGAGACAGGCAAGGACAGGTGAGTCCATTAGGATGGGAGGAAGGTAGGGGTTTGGGGTTTTTTTGCATCCCAAACTGAGAACCTGTGGAACGAGAGAGAGAGAGAGAGAGAGAGAGAGAGAGAGAGAGAGAGAGAATGAATATGAATGAATGAATAAATGAATGAATGAATGAATTCTGGGAGGTGTAGTCCACACATCCTTAAACTGCTGACTAGCCACATTGCGCATTGGCGAAAGCCCCTGTGTTTCATTCTTCTGCCGTTGCACGACCCAAAAGGACATTTCAAAAACATTTTCTTTCTTTTTTTCTGCTGGAAATTTCAAAACTATTTTCTTTTTCTGCTGGAAATTTCAGAAACTCTTTCTTTCTTTTTCTGCTGGAAATCTCAAAAGTATTTTCTTTCTTTTTCTGTTGGAAACTTCAAAAGTATTTTCTTTTTTTTTTGGCTGGACATTTCAAAACTCTTTTATTTTAATTTTTTGGGATGGAAATTTCAAAAGTTATAAAGTCCTTTCTTTCTTTTTCTGCTGGAAATCTCGAAAAACATTTCCTTTCTTTTTCTGTTGTTCTCTGCCCTCTCCAGGCAGACTTCGCGGTCCTGGCTGAGCACCGGATGGTTTACCATGGTGATTGCGGTGGAATTGTGCGACAAGCTCCATGTTTACGGGATGGTGCCTCCCAGCTACTGCACGTAAGTAGCCCCTCGCCTGGCTTGCAAGCCTGGGGTGGGTGGGTGGGGCCCACCTTCTCGACCTCACCTGGCTTTTCTCCTCCTGGCAGTAAGACCCCTCCCCACCGGCTGCCCTACCACTATTACGAACCCAAAGGACCCGACGAATGCACCACTTATATCCACAACGAGCGCAGCCACAAAGGGAATCATCACCGGTTCATCACCGAGAAACGGGTTTTCGGCAGATGGGCTGACCTCTACAACATCACTTTCTCGCACCCCGAGTGGAATTAGGGCAACGAGGAGACACCCCCCCCCCACAAGTGCCAAAACCAGGATCCTGCGGAGCCCCCCTACCCCACCCTAAATGGTCCTGGACTGCTGAGTATTAAGTTTCCCATCATGCCATAGAGAAGCACCCTGGGGCATTGTGGGAAATTAGAAGTCCAGTGAGCTCACAGCTGGATGGAAGGCCATATCGACCCCTTGCAAAGTTACTTCTAGGTGC